CAGGCCCTGCCTGGGCTTCCTGCTGAGAGAGAGAGAGAGAGAATGATGCCTCAGAAATAAGCCCCAACTTTAAGGAGTTAACGACTGCAGCACAATTCACCCTAATGCAAGGCAGAGAACTGATCAGCGTTAAAAGAGAGCTACATACAGAATGTTCTGGAGGTTAGTGGAGGGATGATGAGGAGGAATGGCAGAATGTCCCGCGGAGGGAGTGACTTCTGAGTGGGAAGGGACGCAACATTTATGGAGTAGCTGTCCCACACCAGCCCCTGAGGTTAGTCCTCCCAACAACCCTATTATCACCACCATTTCTTGGAGGAAAAAGGAATGGACGCTCCCAGGGATGCACGTAAGTGGTGAAACCGGGACCCTCTCCCAGGCTGGTCTATCACTCAGCGCCCCCGAGGTGTTCCCAATGCTGATTCCAGGATATTCCTCCTCCCTCAGGAATATCTGGGCTCTCCAGTCAGCTTGGTACAAACTGCAGCCGATTAACAAGCCAAAAGCACTTTGAAGATGACATTGGCCTTAAAAAGTGCTCCCGGTTGTAAGCAGTAAGGCAGAGAGGACTGTGGAGATGACAGTGTAAGAGCAGGGTGGGGATTCCTGGGCAGAGGGGCCTTGAGCAAGGAGGCTGAGATTCCACGCCATTCCAAAAATTTCCTCCTCGGGCCCCCGAGGGGGCTGCCACCTGGGAGCAGAATTGTCCAAACTTCAGTCGTCCGTGAATCACTCTCCCCCCAAATTCGGCCATAACTTCATTCTGCCTGTGCTATGATTTACTTATTCTCTTCATTACATCGACTCCCTTCAAAACTATTCAGCCTAAGCGGGAAACTTTGTGAAATTATAACTTCCACGTGCTCATTGCATTTCTTTCTAATTATACGTTGAAGTCCATGCAAACTGCTAGAACAACAAAAATGAAATTTCTCCGCACGCCATCTAAAAGCCTCACCCTGTGGGGACCCCAGCTTGGGCACCTCTCTGCTTGCTGAGCACAGCGTCACCAACCCCACTCTGCCCAGCGCCACGACCTGAGGCAACTCGCTTTCCTTTCTCTGGCCTGTGCTCTTCAAAACGTCACAGTCCTCATGGAAAAAGGCGGAGGAACTGGCATAGGTGAAAGGGGAATTTTTAAAAATGACAACTAAAAGTAATTGCGTGGCCCTGGATTAGATCCTGGAACAGAAAAAACAGAAGGCCATAAAGGACGTTAGTGAGATAACAGGTGAAATTTAAATACGGTCCATAGACTAGATTTTATTGTATCAACATTACGCTTCCCGATTTTGTTGATGGCATTATGGTTGTGTCAATTAATATCCTTGTTTTCAGGAAATACATAGTGAAGTATTTAGTAGTAAAGGGGCAATTTACTCTCAAATGGTCCATAGAGAAAAAAAATATGTAAATATATATGTATATCCAGTATACACACATATATATCCACATATATGTAGAAAGAGGAGAAATGAGAGAATGACAAAGCAGATGTGACAAAATGCACTGAGAAAAGGGTATATGAGAGTGCTTTGTACTATTCTTATAACTTTTAAGTTTGAAAGTAATTCAAAAATTATAGAAAGATATGAGCCAAAATCATATTCGTGCTTATTTTGGAGTGGTGGGATTGTTATGGAGGGTTTTCTTTTTTCTATCTATATTTTCTTTATTTTTCCTTCCTCCCTCCCTCTGTTCCTTCCTTCCTTCCTTCCTTCCTTTCCTCCTTTCTTCCTTCTTTGCTTTTCTTTTGAAAAAGTAATACAGGCATATAGTAAATATAAATCAAATGCTTACATACCGTCCCATACCTCCCTGAATGCGCCATTTTGTACCTTGTCTTTCTGTTTTCACAATCATTCTTTATCGGGACATGTAGCGCTCCCTCTGATTTTTAAGGGCTGCCTGGAACTACACTGCATTGATGTGTCATAATTCATTGAACCAGTCCCCATTGTCACGAGCATTCAGTTCCTTTCCAATCTTTTACAAGCAAAATGGCAGTGCATTACACCCACGTCTTTGAACACAATGTGTAAATAAATGTATAGGATAGTTTTCCATAAGCAGCATTGCTTCATGAAAGCACGTATATCTTTTACATTCTGAGGCTGCTGTGGGTGTCCACACGTCACCATCCGTGTTCGAGCATGCCTGCTTCCTCACAACCTCCCCACACAGCGCACTTCACATCCTGGGATCTCTGCCAGGCAGATAGATTTTTAAAAAATGACATCTGGTTGTAGTTTTAATTTGCATGTCTATGATTGGAAGTGCAGATGAGTATCTTATCACTTGTTCTAAAAGTAATGTGTATATTTTTTTCTCTCTGTCACCTCTCCCTGCACTTATGTGAGTGACCTAAATTTTCTGCCACAGACCCAGCCCTCCCACGGGGAAACCCCTGCCATGAATCCCAAGCTAAGCCCTTTTTGGCCCCCTGTAGAGGATGAAAGGAGAGATCTGAATCTCCTGGGGCACCTGGACCACAGCCCTGCCCAATGACTCCAGTCTCCTGTCGGGATTTCTAACCATAAACCAAGGCCAGTAATTTACCGTGGGTACCGGGAAATTGACCTAGCCCAGGCCCAGAGTAGCTGTGGCTCTCCGACCATGGCAGGCCCATCCTGGGACTTCGCCGGGCTCCCGCCTGCCCACCCCCAAGGAACAGAGCTTCTCAGTCCTTCTGAGTTTCTGTTTTCTCCCGACATCTTAAAAAAACGGTGGTGGGAACAGAACACTTCATTCAAAGGAGGCCCTGAAAGGCCCTTTTGTGCTGCATCGTTGCCAGGAAGCGGCTCAAGGTTCTCTGAAAGAGAAAGACTTGGACAAAAGCTGGCAGCCTACGGACCCTGGAGGTCAGGCCCTCTCTAACTTGCATCCTTGCCTCATTAGTATGCAAAGACAAGCAGAGCCCAGAGTCTGCTCCTCCCCAGAGCTCCCCTGACCAAGCTCTGTGCACATGTTATCTTTAGAGGCGCCATTTTTTCCCCCTGCAGCACCCAAAAAGAGAGCTCCACATATAGGGACTGACTGAGGCAGGTCATTTCCAGGGTGTTAGTCATCTAGTTCACATCTGCACAGAGGACAGAGCTTGGAGTTTGCAACCAAACAGACCGGGATTCAGATCTTCTCTCTGCCCCTTCCTGGCTGTCTGACCTTGGCAGGTGACCTCTCTGAACTAGTGTTCTCATCTCTGCAGGTGATGTGTGATGTGCTGGCGTCTTGGCATGCAGAAAAGGGGCAAAAAGGCGATTTCGAGATCACAGAAGAACAGAACTGGGAGGGGTTTGTCAGCCAGGCTTTTCCTTTAGGAGCTGAGACTGTTACTGAAACATCTCTCAGAATTCAGGTTCCTGTGTGCCATGCACAGATAAGGCCTAACCTGAAACACGGGTGTTTAGAGATGGAGAAAGGTTTATTCAATTTGGCCAAAGCAAGAGGACAGGACAGCAAGATCTCCCAAATCCATCTTCCCCCAAAAGCAAAAGTAAGAAGTTTTCATACAGTTAGGGAGTAGGGGAAGGGTTGTTCAGGGAACCAAGGGAGAAGTCTGTTTCTTCAGTCTCAGAAAACACCTCGTGCAAGCAGATTTTTGGGTGTCAGCAGGTGGTTACAACTTTTGTAAAGGCATTCATTCCTTCGGCAAAACAAACTCATAAATTCTCCTTGTGACCCTAGAGTTATTTCTTCCTATTTGACATAGAAACAGGACATCAGCTCTTAAAATTACATTGTGAGAACAAGGGGACTGGGCTGGAAGCCAGAGGTTAGCCCATGCAAGCAAGCGAAGGCCTGGTCGTTCCATGCTTAACCAGCTACGTTTTTCTGTTCTCTCAAGCAAAGTGTACTCTTCAACATTTCTCATGGAACTTGCTTTACAAGTTCAGGACATGACTAACATGCACACTCTTTTAATCTTAGACTATAAGCTAGGTGACAACCAATACAATTGAAAATCCCTCTAGACTCTATGATCTAATACCTAAATATGTTCATTGTTAACTACCAGTTTCAAGACCAACCACTAAAGTCTGAAAAAAATTGAGTCAAATCCTGACATTTCCTTTTGGGTCGAAACTCAATAACTTCTTATTACCCTCAAGGTTAAAAAAAAAAAAATCCTTGACCTGGTTCCTAAGGCCCATGGGAGCTGGCTCCTGTCCCCTCTTCTCAGCCTTGGGTTGTGGGGCCCCAGAAGTATAGGTGATGTCAGTCAAGGCCTATGAACACTCAGAGCGCCTTCACCCCTCCTCCAGCCTCTGATCCTAGAAGCCCCCTCTAGGGGGCTTCTGTCCCCCAGTCTTCTCTCTACTCTGGCTAACTTTTGCTCAACAGTCAGGTTTCAGCATCACTTACTCGGGATGGGCAGCAGGTGTTCCTGGGCCCCTGGATGGATTATTGGCTCCTATGACCGGCTGCAGGCTTCATCTTGGAACCTGCACTGCATGCGTTCTTTCTGGCTCTGTTCTCCGTGTTGGGCAGCAGGCTCCACGGGAATGCATCCCTCGAGCTGGCACTGGGACTAAGTGCGGCTGGCACCTAGATGGGATTCACTGAATATCTGGGCAAGGAAGGAAAGGGGAACAGAAGGGAGGGAAGGCAAGGACAGGCTGGTGGGGGACACCTAAAGGGACTGGGGTCTCCCTGGAATCCCACAGCATGGGANCTTTTTGTTCTATTCAGGCCCTCAACAAATTGGATGATGCCCACCCACATTGGTAAGGGCAATCTTTAAGCAGTCTAGCAATTCAAATGCTAATCTCTTCTGGAAACATTCTCACAGGCACACTCAGAAATGATGTTTTACCAGCTATCTGGGCATCTCTTATAGCCCAGTGGACACATAAAATTAACCATCATGGTGGGGCGTGGGTGGGAGATTGCTCTCCCAGTTCTGAAACCTCAATCTCAAGGACGTGTCCCCCCAGCTGAGCACAGGCGGGGGCGTGCACTCGGGCGGGCAGTGTCCTCCCCTGAGCACCCACCCGGTGGCTGCGTGCACGGCGGGCAGTTGGGGAGCTCGCAGGGGGAGGGGAGACTGCTGCCGCAATGCGCGCCTCCGCCGGGGCCTGGGCAACCAGATGGAGCCAGCGGGCTGTGCTTGCGCTCCCCGCCTGGGGCTATAGCGGCTATAAAAGCTTTGCCACCTGCTTCCACTAGGGCGTCCGGTTGCTGCGAGAAGCCAATTCACGTCCTCCCGCCGCATCTCCGCTGGACATGGACCCCGAGACCTGCTCCTGCCCTACTGGTGAGCCCCTGCCCCATCTGCGGCACAGCGCGACCCCTTACTTGCAAAGAACCCCATGCCCTATGCCTTCTCTCAAGGACATTTGGGGGAAGGGACACTTATTGCCCATTTTGAACCTCGTGAGGAGTGGGCATGGCTATATCCCAAAGGACACTGAGATTGGCACCCACCTCCTCCTTTTAGGCCTGACCCCACCCCGAGTTTTTACCACATGAACTCTTCCTGTGGCGTCTCCCTCTCTAGGTGGTTCCTGCACCTGTGCCGGCTCCTGCAAGTGCGAGGGATGCAAATGCACCCCCTGCAAGAAGAGTGAGTGTGGTGACCCCCTCTGCCCCTACCCCCTTTGCTCCCCGAGTCTGTCCACCCGATAGACCCTCGAGACCGCTTATTACATTGCTTCTGACTCTCTCTGGGACTGAACCACCTGGGGAGGCCTTAAGATACAATCGCCAGGGCCCCACCCCCAGTGATTGATCCACTAGGCCTGCTGGCAAGATGTTTTGTAAATTCCCAGATGATTCTAATGGGCAGCTGAGACTGAAAACCGTTTCCCTGGCCCAACTCCTCCCCCGCAAAACCTGCAATGCCTGGGGAAGGCTGAGGGTTGGCTCTGGAATTTGGGTCCCTTGGCCCCTCTCAGGCCTTTGTGGATCCCCTCAATTTGACCTCCCCCAGACCTTCCCAGAAGCAGTATAATATGCACGGGGAGCAGAAGGTGGGAGGAAAGCTCCCTTTCTCCCTAGTGCGTGAGACTAGGTGTGGCTGCCCCCNACGTTCCTCAGTTCATTGTATTGTTCTAGAGGGTGTGGGGCTGACTTCCATCGCCCTGGATGTCCTGTCACTGCCTCGCCATGCTTTCCGCCCTGTGTGGTAGACTCAGATGGAGCAGGGCAGCCTTCTCCTCCTAGGTGGCCCTTTTCCAAAGTTCTGTAGTAATTGTCTCAGGACAGCGCATGCCACCTCAGACTCAGGGTCTTCCCGGTTGGGGAGGGGTGTTACTTGTGCCAGGCCTGCTGTTGGCTTGCTGCACTTGCGCCTGTCATGTCTGCTCTGACTTCTCTCTCTCTGCCCTTTCTCCCCAGGCTGCTGCTCCTGCTGCCCCGTGGGCTGTGCTCGGTGCGCCCAGGGCTGCATCTGCAAAGGAGCAACGGACAAATGCAGCTGCTGTGTGTGACGTCGGGGAGAGCCTGCTCCCTGATGTAAATAGAGCAACATGATCAAACTTACAGTTTTTTAACTTTTTCATAAACCATGACCCCATTGCTACATTCCTTTTTGTATGAAATATTTGAATGGCAATAAACTAATCTAAACTCTTCTGGCTCCACGTTCCTCATGGTGTTTTGGGACTATGAGACTCGGTTCTCACTGGGCTGTCAGGGAACCTGCGGGGAGAAGTTGAGGGGGGATTTGGCATAGGAAGTGGGGGGCGAGGTGAAATGCTTCCTGCCATCTGGCCTGGCCCTGGCTGTTCTTTGTGAGCTGTGGCAGTGTTCACCCTATCATCTCCTTCTAGAGTTAACTGGTCCCTGCCCTTTTAGTAGATCTGTGTCACGCATATATTCATTCGGTAGCCACCTATGGTGCACCTACTGTATACACAGGCATTGAGTTCTCAGTGATGAGGGGACATGGCGCTTACAGACTGCTGGGGAGAGACATAATTACCACAGAGAAGAAACAAAATGGCTATGACTGAGAATGCTGTTGGGGTGTGCCTGAGTGAAGAGACCTTGGCACTGAGATCTGAGAGCTGCATCCCTGTCAGGGTGCAGCTTGAGCAAAGGCCCTGAACTGGGAAAAAGCTTGATGTGTTCAGGAAATAGAAGGCCAGCATGTCTGAGCTAGCATTGAGGGGAGTAAGCTCATTACACTTTGGAGTGGGGAGAGCAGGGACCATGTGCTTTATTCACTGGAATGACCCTCCCCCAACAACGGCTTGTGCAGCTGAATCACGTGGAGAGGTGGCAAGAGTGTCAAGCTGTCTCACTTCCCTTCCCAGCCCCCAATCTGATTTCTTATGGGCCAGGGGAACCTGTACTTTTAACAAGTACCTAAGGTTGCAACCTACTGACATAGTCACATGGAATGATTTAGTGAAATGCAATGAGCTTCTGCCAGGAAGTATTTCCACCCCAGTTGGTATGTGAAGCCAACACCCTTAACATGTAGCTATCTGCACTGGTGGCCCAGGGAGCCTGGAGGGACCCAGTTCTGGTCTGTCTATAGAGCAAGAGGCAGGCAGGCCTCACCACGCAGGATGTGGCAAGTGGTTTTGTACAAAGCAAACCAGACTGAAAGGGCAACCCAAGCCTCCTTGGAGACTCACACTATGAAAACACGACCCAGTATGGGTGGGCTGGCTTCCCAGCTGCCTTTTCCTGGCCAGAGGACCTGACCCGGACCTTGTGGGGTTTGGCCAGGAGTGTGATGTGGCACTGCCCTGTTTGGTCTGGAAGTTCTGTGCCAAGGTCACAAATGTGTCCAGTTGTGGCTCTTCCACAATTCTGCTTTTGGGAACCACAGCTGCCAAACTTCTTCAGGGAAGGGGACATAATGTTTTCACTGCACCTGAGAAACACAGTTATCCAATTTGCAGCTTTTTATTTTCCAAGTCATGTGTGAAACGGCATCTTTGCTCTATCCCCAAGCCCCAACCCCCTCAAGGGGTGGTGGGGCATAGCCATTATGATGTCTGTTGGAGAGATTAATTTATAATAGCGTTTTTCTAATTCAATATGGCTGCATCAGAATGCCTTGTTTCATTCCAGAAGTTAATACCTTGTTTAACTGGGAAAGCAGTTAAACGAGTCATCTCTGGAGCCAGACTGCCTGGCTGGAAGCATAGCTTCACAACTTAGGTAGGTTATGTGGCCTGTCTGTGCCTTCTATTTCTCATCTGGAAAGTGGAGACAGTAATAGTCCCCACCCCATAGAGTTGTCGTGAGGTTAGATGTGTCCAGCACAGTCTCTGGCACCCAATAAGTGCTTAGCAAGCACTACTTCCCTCTTGGCCAGGCCCAGAGCCTGACAATCAGTAGGCGATCCATAAATGCTCTCTATTTGATGCCATGAGCATTTATTGGACCCCTACTATATGTAAATCATTGTGCTGGGTACAGAGAGGAAAGATTGCACATAAATAAGATCCAATCCCTTTGCTGGAGGAGGTCTTATTCAAGTCCCTGTTGAACTCAGGGAGCGTTTATTTATCACTTCAGGATGCAGCTGCTGAACTGAGGCAGAGTGATGCAGAGTCTGAACATTTCTGCCCTTCAGGAGAACGGCCGTATTCCACTCTGACCCTGGGATAGGCTGAGTGTGAAACAAGCTAAGACAGACATGTGGAAGGCTCAGGAAGAGGGTGTGATTCAGTCTGATCAGAAGGCCAGGAGAAAACCTATTCATTCATTCCTTCATTCATTCACATGGGCACTTCTTGTCCAGAAGTGATTAGGGCATTGGTGGTGGATGGGCTGGAAAAATGGGAGGTTAGCTCTTTTGGTGGTATGAGGGCCCTTCCCCCAAAACAGGTGCTTAGTGTTGGATGACACTGGACCAATCAGATCCTCTCTCCCGGGAAGTGTAAATTCAAGGTGCAGGTGGCAGGACCAAAGGGTATCTGGAATACATGCTATACCTGAAACAACGTCATGGGAACATTAAAAGAGCCTACTCTAAGTGGTAGTCATGGAGACAATTATAACAGATCAAGCTACAGCTCTGTTTCTGTGAGAGTGGTGGGACATCTCTTGCGACCCAGAGAGGCAGAGCATCTGCTGAGCCCAGGTCCTTCCTGGCCCCTTCCCTCCTCCATGGCACCCTTCCTCCCTCCCTCCGCAGGCAGGCTTTTCTATTTAGCAAGGGTGGAGGGTGAGGGGTGGGGTATGTTGTAAAGGTTGGCTGGTTTTTGCCTCAAGGCCAGCAGCAGGGACTTCTCAGTGGTCAGAAAGCCCTCCTCTGAGCCTCGGCCTGGACAAACCTGGTGATTCTTGAGTGCTCAAGGGAGAAGGCTGAGACAAGCCTGGGGAGCCGTGTTGTCATCGACGCAATATGCAGGACTCAGTGGATTAGCCCCTGGGGTTCCAGGGGTTGCCTTGCAAAGCTGGGGGATGGGACCTAGGTCCACTCACTAGCCACCTGGCCTGCCTGACCCATCACCACCATCACTGGATGTGGGGGTACAGCCATATGCAGACTGGACTCTGCCATCTCCAAGACACCTCTTTCTCCCACAACCCCCACAGCAAGGTTAAGCCAGAACCTCCATCAGCAATTCAGTGACCTTGGGTCACTGAAGCCAGGAGGCTTCCCCAGGTTCGCGTGGTCCTTCAGCGAGCAAGGGCAATGCTTCCCCCAGAGAAGTCACCCTCTGGGGGTGGACTGNCTTAGTAAGTATTTTCTCTTATATAGTAAACTCTTTGCCAAGTCCTTTTATTCCACTTAAGAGAGCAGAAAAAGTGGAACGGAAAATTAAAAAGATTAAACTACCAAAAAATGAGGTGACAAAATAAGGGCCTACGCACATAGTAGGTGCGCCATAAAAAGGGATTAGTAGGCCTGTCTCAGTCTTCTGTTTATTAATCTCTGAGAAGGCCCCCACCAAGTCACTCTGTGACTGCAGAGCTCTCAGACCCCTTTGGAAGGATATGATGCTGTCGATGATATCTTCCAGGGGGCAGAGCAGTCCTGTTACAACCCTCACTTCACAGATGAGGACGCTGAGGCTCAGGGAGAGCCAATGGCTTGTGCAACATCATGAGGCTAGTGAGGGCCAGAGCAGGGACCTGAACTGGGAGCTGCTTGACTTACAGGCCGTGCTCCTGCCCGTGCCTGTGGATGGGGCAGAGAGAAGCCGCAGGTAATATTGTCCTGAGCCCAGGCCTAAAGGGTCGCTGCCCGGGGCCTTGTCCTTTACAGAGCCTACATATCCAAACACAAAAAAACACAAATTGATTAGAGAATACACGGGGCCTCTGTCACTCAGGATGTGGTATTTATTTGGCACTGCGTACCAATTAACCCTAAACATCTGCCCTTGTTAAGCAACATTTTTCCCCAGGGAAACTTCTCCAGCTCTTGCCCTATGTCCTCATGACAAAGAACGGGCCAAGGACCTTAACAGACTCCTCACCAAAGAAGATATATAGATGGACAATAAGCACATGGGAAGGTGCTCCATGTCACGTGTCTTAATCTTCGCAAATACCTTGCAGGATAGGGATTACTATCTCCGTTGTACAGGCAAGCAAACAGACTCAGAGAAAGAAGACCCAAACTCAGGCAGGACCAGCTGAGAGGGGAGCTGGAAGCCCCTGAGGGAAGATGAGCTGGGGGGAAGCGGAAGTGGAAAGTGAACAGACTGGTTACAAGTGACTCTGAGTGGGGTAAAACAAGCAGTGTAAGGAAACAGATTTTAGGTAGAAAAAAAAGAGCGTTCTCGTGGCAGAGCTCCCTGGAACAGGAAAGTGCTGTGTCAGGAGACTGGCACATCATAAATTGTGTTCCTGTGTTGCCTAAGGGACAACAGAGATTTCCGAGAGGCTGTTACGGACTCGACACCTGCTCAGGCCATACTCCAACTTGGATGGAGACCAGACGGGAGGGCTTGGTGGCAAAGGAATGAAGACCAGATCACAAGACGGGGAATGAAGTTCCTCGTGTGGACTGCAGGGGGCGCTCCAGGCCCAGAGGCAGCAGCAGCCGGAGTACTTTGAGCGCTTGGGTGTTGCACAAGGGTTGGTTGAGGGGGCTGTTCCTGTCTCTGTTTGGGTTTGGGACCCAAACATCCTTCTAGGATGAGTTCTAGGTATAGAACCCTCCGACACTGCTGCTGGGAGGATAAATCAGGACAAGTTCTCCAAAGGCTATAGATGTAAAAGGCCTTCACAGTGTGTAAACCACTCAGAATCACAGGACATACAACTTTTTTTTTGGGGGGGGGCATACGACTTTTAAAATAATTCACAATGTATATCGATGAACCATAAAAATTTTCTTCTCATTTGACCCAGTAGTTTCACTTCTGGAAATCTAAGGAACTCACCACAAATTGAGGAAGGGTGGGGTGAAGGGGGTGGTTGGGGGAAACCTCATTCATTCACAAAAAGGTTCAGTACTATTTACAATTGTGAAAAACTGGAAACAACCTCACGTCTAAGTCTGTGTAATTGTTCAGGTATGCTATGGCCCATGCACACAATAGGATATGACACAGCCATAAAAAATGCAAAAATGCAAAAACACAGGAATGATTATGGTAAAATCTAACCATACAAATAAGCTACAAATTAGTTTTTAAAAAAGGAACCACAAATTAGTTTTAAAAAGAAGCCAAAATATGAAAATAAAATATACTAAATTGCTAATAGTGGTTGTGTTCAAGTCATAGGTATATTTCCTTCTATTTTTCTGAATTTTCCAAAATTCCCTGAAGTAATATTTATTAAAATAAGTAAATATTGTTTGAAAAGGGAAAAAATGTGTACTTTGAGCCAGAAATTCTACTTTAAAGAATGTTGTATTCTAAGAAAAAAACCATGACTGTTACACACACACAAGTTGCCAAGATGTTTGTCACAACATGGATTATAATAGTGAAGATTTGGGAACAACAAAAATGTCTCAAAGTAGGGGAATTGGCTCAATAAATTGTGGAATGGATCTACCAAAATAAAATTGTAGAGGTGAAACTTATTTCATGGCCAGATGTTTATAATCTACTGAAAAACACAGAAAAAAAAAAGAAGTCATTCATAAATCAGTGTGTACTGAGGCTTGACTTGAGAGCCATTCATTCATTCACTCATTCATTCATTCATTCAATAAATATGTCTTGAAAGTCTCACATGTACAGAACACTGTTTTAAGGGCTTCAGATGTGTTAGTAAACAAAAGCAATGATTCCTTACAGGATCATGGTACCTAAATTCTAGCAGAAAATACAGCACGTAAGCTTTACAAATAAGTAAATTATTCCGTTTGTCAGAAGGTGTTAAATGCTGTGGAAGAAAGAGAGATAGAGCAAGGTATGGGGGTCAGGGGGCCTGGGGATTTGAGATATGTGTTCCAATTTTAAATAGGTGATCGTGGTGGGCTTCATAGAGACAGTAAGATTTTAGCAAAGACTTAGAAGCAAAGAAAGAAGGGAGTGAGCTGTGTGGGTATCTGGGGGAGAAACACAGGCAGAGGGAACATAGACAAAATAATTTTAGGTTGTGAGAATTAACAAGGGGTCAGAGGGGAATAAAGGTGGACGTTAGGGGGACCCTCCGAAGCAATACACCTATATGAAACGTTCTTCTGGGATCTTGGAAGCTGAGAACAGAAGAACGAAGGGCCCAGCCCTGCGAAGAATGGGCAGATGGTATTTTAGAAGGATGTTGTGGTTTTCAGACCCCTCAAAATTCTGACCACCTTTGGGTAGGAGGGGTATTAGGTCTCTCTAGAATAACAGAATATATATATATATANAAATATCTTTTTGTTTTCCGATGGTCTTAGGCGACCCCTGTGAAAGGGTCGTTCGACCCCCAAAGGGGTCGCGACCCACAGGTTGAGAACCGCTGGTAAGGCATTACAATCTGTGAGAGAGCACACCCAAGCATAGGAGGAGGCTGACCCTGCCAAGAAATGGGCTGGGACTGGGCTGGGAATACAGGCCCAGGAAGATGGCTCCAGCCTCTGGACTCTGAGAACAGCCCTGCCCAGTTGTAGGTTCCCTGGGCTGAGGTGTCCTTCTGACCTTCTGAACTATAAGCTCTATTTTTACTCACCCTTGGTTTCCCAGTGCCCAGCACAGTGCTGGCTTTTGGGAGCTGTTGAATGAACAAATGTGCCTGGGTTCCCTACTAGGCTGTGAACTCCTTTCGGGCAGGGACCATATCTGGATCACTACAATATTGCCCTGGCCTAGTCCTCCCCAGTGCCCCACAGATGACCATGAGCCTCAATCCCTTTCTCCTCATTAGAAGTTCTCAGCTCAAACCCATGGTACCATAGGTCAGCCTGAGGCCCCAGGGATCCTAATGGATGAGTGATGGAGACCCCACTATCCTACAAGCAGGGAGGAACTACCTCCACTGGTCATGGCCAGGTCCCACTTTTTTGCCTTTCTGAATGGGGATAGCATTTTTCAACAGCGGTCCTCTGTACCCACATGCAGGAGATTTATGCCATTTGTCCACTCATCATTCAATGACTCATTCATTTGTTCACATGTGCGCTCACTCACTCTCATTTATGTCTTCAGTCATTCAGCTATTCATCTCATTGGTTGATTGATTCACTCATTCATTCATTTATTCATTCATTCACTCAACATCCACCAAATGTTGTACAGAACATGGTATGGATCATAGAGATGCTTCAGACACAGGTCTTGCTCCTGAGAGCTCCCAGATTGGGGCGACGGGCATAAGAGCCATAAACACAAATAATTACACAGAGCAGAATGGAAATGTCATGAGTAATATACAAACACATCACTGAGGGGCCACAGCGGGAGAGCTTTCTTCCAGCCGAGAGGAAACGATCTCAGCAGCTTCCTGGCGGAAGTGTACTCAGTGGCCACTCCAGGATGTCTGTGGAGAGTGGGTGAGGATGGCAGCTTGTGGGGGAAGCCTGGTGCTGTATCATCTGGAGGGCACTTTGCATAAGACTGAGAAGTAGTCAGCTGCCTCTCTCAAAGAACGTGGTTACATCTCCCCCAAGTTCCCTCTTGCTTCCACCACCCAAGAAATGGCATTTGAGTTCATGTGTTGGTAAATGGGGGGGGGGCATTTATTTGGACTTAGGGTGACAGGGAGAGTATGAACCCTTGACAGGAGCAAAGGGCTGGAAGTGAGAAAATTCACGGCAAGAACAGGGGACGCTGGAAACCTTAGGTTTTGGGTGGAGCGAGTAGAAAGGAGTAGTGGGCAATGAGTTTGCAATGGTAAGTTGAGCTTGAAATGCAAGGGTAGGATGTTTGGGCTTCATGCAACAGACGCAGGGAGCCACTGAAGGTTTAGAGCAAGACAGTAACACGGCCAGTGCTGTTTTTAGTGATGTATCTCCAGGGCAGTGTAGAGAATGAAGTGGGGGGCACAGGAGGCTCTTCCAGGCCCTCTAATGTTTAGGGGGGCAGAGCAAGAGTACAAATGGGGTCCACACACCACCTGGCTAAAATATTTCGAAGTTATAAATCAAATTAACAAATAAAATATGTTCTATCCTCCTACCTAGACAGAGAACTTCACAGCAACCTGGAGGTCCAAGTTCAAACGTATCATTCTCAAATCCTGACATTGGAACTCGGAGGCGCCGGGAGCTCTGCCCAGTGACCCTAACCCTCAGTCTGTGGCCCTTCTCTGCCCACCCCTAGCTCTTTCCCTCACTGTGAGAGGCCTCACACACATACCTGTGGGCAGCCAGCCCACATATCCAAACTCTGTTCGCACCCCAGCAAACAGCCACCCTCAGCCACCCCTCAAGCCTAGAGGGACACGTATTGGCTAAACATCCGCCCTTGGGAGCCTGGGGAGGAAGATTAAGCAAACCCTTGGAAGCAAGTAGGCTTGGGGTGACAGAACATTCCTGAATCATTGGGTGCTCCATGTGTGGTCTAGAAGGAGAGGTTGCAGGCTCTAGGTGGACACACACCCCGACTTTTGGCCTTCTCACCCATGGGGGCTGCGAGTCACATCCAGGAGAGGGCCTGAGTGGGACCTTCTAAAGCCCAGAACCTAGGATAGGGCTCCCTCCTGCCCACGGCAAGGGCTCTCACAGTCAGTCATCCAGGGGAGACAGAATGAGGCCTGAGCCAGGGTGGGAGTAGCCCCTGTGAAGGAGGGAACAGAAATAGCAGATAATAGAATGCATAGGGCGGGAAGGCCAGATAATGACTGTAGCTGCCAGTCTGGGCACTGCGAGTGCCAATGAGCCTGAGCCTGGCTCCCTGACACCTTGGCATGTGGGCAGATGGGTGGGTGCAGCCATGTAATGAAAAGCCACCTGAATGACTACTGCTCTCACTCTCCTCTGCTCTCCTTCTGCCTGCTCTGTAACCCCCAGCCCATGGTGTCCGGCGGGGCCGTGTGCAAGGCGTCTAGCCCCAGGGAGAGGGAGGGAGAGCCCACACCTACACCTACCCGGCTATAAATATGCAGCCTCCGGTGGCTGCTCACTCAGCCTCCCTTCTCCAGCCGTGACAGCACCGGAGCCTCTGGGACACCTAGACCATGGACCCCCGGGAGTGCTCCTGCATGTCTGGTAAGTAAGGATGCCTACCCTTGGGCTTTGGGACTTTGCACCAGCTTCCTACAGGGAGCCTGCTGGACTCTGATTAATGCCCCTCCTCCTGCAGTTAGGAGCCACCAATGGTGTTTTTCTCAGACAGGAGACCTCCGGGGCAGCTCCCACTCTCCCACGGGTTGGCTACCAGCCCGATTTGCTGGAATCGATAGCCAGGCTCCTGAACGACTGCGGCCCCTAGGGTCAGCCGCCATGGCAAGGGAAGACCTCTGGCCCAGAACCTGGCAACCTGGTTTTGGTCCGTTGCTGCCATCACTTCTGACATTTATTACGTCCGGGCCTCAGCTTCCTCATTCAAAAACTAGATTACGAATCCCTGCTTGCCAGGGTTGCTGTGAAAGTGGTAGAATCATAAAGTACTTGCAGGTGTTGGGGGAGTCATTCGAAGCGTATGTGGACTCCCAAGTCTCTGAAGCCGCGTAATTCCACAGAAGCATGCTGGGCAGGAGGAGAGGGACCAGGGTTCAGAGTCATCCTGAGCTTCATGGCCTTGAGACGTGATATGAAGTAGTCCCGCAAGCCTCCCTGGTCCTTAACAGGACATGTCTGTACCAAAAACTTGCCAAAGAGACCAAAGCTTCCAGCATCTTGAAATTCAAAATGCTAGGTGGGGTACTTTTTTTTTTTTAAGTGTAGATGGTTTTTATGATATTGAAACAAGCAGTGGCCATGGCTCTCATTTTGGGCTTCTTTATGTCCTCTGCTCTTCCTCCTACCGATTCAGGGTTTCCACCTTGCCTGGTACCTGAAAGAGGTAAGGAGGGTACGAAAAGCTTCGACAGTCCCTGGAGGACTTTGGGCTTGGTGGAGTTGGCTTAGTCTAGTGGTTCTCAAACCTGATTGTACATCCGAATCATCTGGGCTGCTTTTGAGAAATGTGGACTCCCTTTTTCCACACAGATCTATGAATCAGAACATCTCAAAGGTCGGTCCCAGGAATCTACATTTAAACAAGGGTGCTGGGGCTTAGAGGCAGCCACCCCCGTTTCTGAGTGTGGACTGGGACTGGGAACCACTGGATGGTCCTCGCCACTCGGGGTGATGTTCAGTAGCAGCTTCACCCTCTTGTCCAGCCACTGCCCGAGGACAGCCCAGAAACCTTGCCCCTGGGAAGGTCTGCAGCACACCTCATGTTCCCCGCTCCAACTCAGTCCTCACATGTGTGGCTCTGTCCTCTCTTCCAGGAGGGATCTGCATCTGTGGAGATGACTGCAAATGCACAACTTGTAACTGTAAAACATGTCGGAAAAGTGAGTAGGGTGGCCGGGGCACCACGGGCTAGGAGCTAGGAAAGCCTATTCCCTCTATCCTCAACCCTCCGGCCATGGGGGTATGGAGGGGGTCTGGATAACTTTTACCCCTTTGGGAGGGATCTGAAATGAAAGCTGGGCTCCCCAGGGCTGCTGCCCTCCTGGGGATGAGGGCACCCACAGTGTTTCAGGTGTTTGGAGAAGGAATAGGACTGAGGGGCGGTTCCAGCCTGCCCAGTGGTGAAGGGGAGAGAGCCCTGGTCTGGAGTCATGAGCCCTGGGTTTTGGTTCTGCCACTGCCCAACAACGTTGGGCAAACCCCTTCTCCTCTCTGGGCCTCTAATGGACTCGGCATGACCCCTGGGATCCCTCCCAGCTCTAACATCCCACAACTTCCTGTCCCAGGGTTTTTGTGACTAGGGATTGAAGCCTGTGGCAGGCTCTTCTTTTCCTACTTCCTCTAAGTGTTGGGAGGGGAAGTGGTAAGAAGCCAGTGTTGACCCAAAGCTGATCTGTCCATTTCCTGACCCTTTCAGGCTGCTGCTCCTGCTGTCCCCCAGGCTGTGCCAAGTGTGCCCAGGGCTGCATCTGCAAAGGAGACTCAAACAAGTGCAGCTGCTGCCACTGAAATGCACTCGTTGTGCTGGGGGTGAGACCTGGGGAGTGCCGTCTGTACAGTGCATTAGCTGAGAAGTTGGAATGATTGTGCTTTTTATATATTTGCCCAAATGAGGTGTTGGTGACATTCATGTAAAGTGCATGGAGCAATAAAGTTTTCACTCGTGGCTGTCTGGTGGTCAGAGCACTGTTGTACCCTAACCCAGAAGGACCAAGAAGGGCTGACTCCGTTGCTTCAGTCATTACTAACCTACATCCCTTTGCCTCATGCCTCTAACTGCAGGGATCTCCCTGAGGGCTTTCTCCTGCTGCCTGAGCTTTCTTGACACAAGCACAGGGTAGACTGGGAGGGCTGCAAAGTCAAGGCCACTGGGAGCAGCCCTTAACCAATGACAAATAGTAGTTAATGAATAAAGACCCCCAGCATCTTTACCTCACAGTGGGACAAATCTGAGATACGTTCCACACCATCCTGCAGAAGTCCCCGGCATCACTGAGCCCCTATAGCTCACGGTGGTAGCCTGCTCACTTACCTGCTCCTTATTGGCTTCCTTCCTTCCCTACCTTACTTCTCCATTCTCCTACCAGTGCTTCCTGGGGCCCCCACCCAAAGAAACCATTTGTACAGGGTCTGCTCCCTGGGTAACCCAATCTTCGCCAGGCTCTCCTGGCATAGTCATGGCCCAGAATGCCTCGCTGTGTTAACGGTGCTGTTTAGCATTGAGTCAGCCATGAACAGCTAGGAGGTCTATGCTGATCTAAAGAAAATCCTCAAGGCCAGGACACCAAGGGCATTTTAGCTGCCCTGATTTGGTTATTTAGACTAAACTTCAGNGAAGGAAAGGGGAACAGAAGGGAGGGAAGGCAAGGACAGGCTGGTGGGGGACACCTAAAGGGACTGGGGTCTCCCTGGAATCCCACAGCATGGGAAGGCCCCCCGGAGAGAGGGAGGGGAGGGAGTGACACATATACAGTGATGGCACGTTTAGGAACAAGCCTTTCGAAAATTGTCTTTGAACTTTGCTGGGTACTTCACTCCCGGGAGCCTCAAAGTCATTTTCAAACCCGAATTATCCCATACACTGTGGCCCCAGGCAGCCCCCAACCTTGGCCTCAGTCTTCACCATTGCAAATTAGGAAACTGAGCCCCACAGTGAAAAGTTTGCCTGGGATCAAGAAGAAGTCAGCCTAAAAGTCTGTTCATTCCTCAGGAAACAACCTGATGGAGCACGAGCTGGAAGCTGAGAGTACGCTGGCCTCAGTTTACCTACATGAATAAGGGGACAGTCCCTGCTCTACAGTTCCTTCATTTCCTGCTGTGGATTTACACCAGCTCAGGGGCTGCAAAGAGGTAACGCCCAGGCAGGCTGCATTGGGCCCTCAAATACGTGTTGTCAGGATCTCTGTGTTGGTTTTTTTAATAGGAGATTTTGTGCCAAAGTCTAGATTTGAGGATTCTCTTGAAAAACCAAAGGCCTGACCATACTGGACCCCCAGATTCCACCTCCACATGTGTCAGGCTGGCTGGGGCTGAGCAGCGCTTCCTCCTTTACATGGGGCACATGTTTGCCAAGTTGCCACAGTCCCCACCGCTCCCTCTTATCTCAGACCTGGCTCACTTCACTTGTTCATGAAACCCGCTGAACCCTGTAGGCATTTGCATCGCAGCTCTTGAAGTATCTCTTCCCCCTTGGTCTCTACTACTAGCTGCACTGGCCTCTGGGTTTCTCAAAAAATCCAAGCTCCTTCCAGCCACAGGGCCCTTGCATATGCTGTTCTCTCTGCCTGGAACACCCTTCCCTCCACAAGTCTCAGCTGAAGGGTCACCTCCTCTGTCTGAATTGGGTTCCCCTTGACATATCTGTAATTAGCTCTCATATCACATATCACAACATGTTATTATTCATGGGTGTGTTTATTTGTCTTCTGTCTCCCCTACTATAATAGAGACTCCAGGAGGGCAAGGATCTGCCTGCTGTTACTGAGTGCTGCATCTGCAACGTAAAGCCCGGAACCCTATGCATCTTAGGAGCTTGATAAATATTTGTGGCATAGATGCATGAATACCTGACTGGGACTCTGCCAGGCCCATGGGCCTCCATTCGATGACAAACCGCCAGTCAGCCCTGTCTTCCTACAGGATTGGTAAAACCATGCTATTTCCCCCCGCTCCCTGTGGGATACTCTCAGGCCCATGTGTTCCCTTTTTCCAGAAGCCTCAGGATGAAAGGTGAGTGGAAACACCTAGGGCGTTTGCATTCAAACCTGGCTATATTTGTCAAGCAAGTACAGATGACTAATGTGATCAAAGGGACAGTGAGATGACAGAGCTACAAAATGAGGGTTCTTCCAGATGGAGAAAAGAGGGCTTGGCTTGAATTAAATCTATTACATCCCAAAGTGGATGCAGACACAGGGATCATGGACATCCAACTTCAACTATTAGAAGAAGGAGAGGTCGCTAATAAAAAATTTTTTTAAATGAAGAAAAAAAAAAAAGAGAGAGGCTTCCCTTGAAGTTTAAGGCAAAGAAAAGCCACACTCCCCAACCTACTTTGCTCAGAAAGGCCTTACAATGTATTCGACCGTGAGTGGTAGGATGAACCCAGAATAAAAACAGGTCTAAGAAGGCTGCAGATTGCTAGGTGACAGATCTGAGGCTGGGTTAGAGGCCCATTTACCACTGTGTGGTCAGTGTTTGGCAGATGTTGAAAGAATAAGTGATGGCATGAATTTCATAGAGAAATTCTCCCCCAAGTGCCCACCAGATCCTGGGCAAAGCAAGAGCACCGGGCTAAACAAATTCAAACGATCATTTATTTGATGCTTCTGGTATCTGCAAGCTCTACCTGACTCGTGTTGAAAAGGGTCATCTTCCAGGCTTGGGGGTCAGCCATTCAAAGAGGGTCTATATGGTGACACTGAAGTGAAATAGACATTCAGGTTTGGCATTTTGTCCTGGATGAATGGAGGTGATCCCTAAGCGGGCAAAGGGATGAGGTGACATCAATACGAATCACCAGGATCTAGCCAAGAATCTGCTCCCTGAAAATCTCAAATCCCAAGAGGAATAGGTCCTCTTCATTGGCCGCCCCACAGCTTCTCCTGCCTTCCTGTAGCAGCTGTTGTCTCTCTACTTCAGCAAAACAAGAGAGCTTAGCCAGAGGACAAATGTGAGACTTCTGAGTGAAAGCTAGGGAAGATAGAAGACGCTGCTAATGAAAAGAGGCAACTCATCACACACACACAAACTTTACTGAAGATAAGTGTTACCCCAAAAGGGATAAGCTATCTCCAAAAATAATGAACTCCCTGTCACTGGAGAAGCACAAGTGAGACCCTGGGGGCCATTGTCATGGCTCCTGCAGATGAAATTCCAGCATCAAGAACTGCCAAGGTTCTTCACTTGGTGGTCGTGGACGACTTTCAGAGGGAGAGTACTCAGACCCTCTGACATTGTTTGTGCAATAGTTTTCTGACGAGTGTCTTTTTTCCCCCCCTGGGGAATGTGTTGATAACTTTCTTCAACTTCTCAAAAGGATTTATGACTCAAAAAAGATAAAAATCACTGAGAGGAGCTAATGAGGTCACTGTTTCCCAAACCTGGCTGCATATCAGAATTATCTAAGGAGTTCAAAAACTATGAGACCTTCACCAGATCCCACTCTAAGCCCACTGCACCAGGCCTACATATTTGTGTTTTTGAAAAGCTCTCACTGAGTAATTCCAACGCGCTCAACCGGGGATCAGCCTGAAGTCTCTAGAAAATAGTCACCAAAGGCTTTGGTGAGTTTTAAGAGATTCTGCACTCCTGAAGCTTTGGATTCCAAGACAGAGGTCACAGAACAGGGACCTGTGGGCAGCTCTGATCTATAGATGTGTTGGTTCATGAAGAGAGTATTAAAACAAAACAAACAAAACAAAACAAGCCCCTATGATGTTGAAAAATTGGAATAGTTCACACAGACACAATCCAGATTTTTAATTTCTCTTATAAAATCAGAGGAACTAACAAAATTTAACCCTCATTCCAAAATCTCACTATTCAACTGGAGCTTAGTCAGTTTGCCACAGTCTCCACCACTCCATATTACCTACAATCCGCTTACTTCACGCTTATGCATTAACTCCCTAGCCCCTTAGGTCACTTACATTTGAGGCCCCTATGTGAAGTTTTCCTGGAAATTCACCAGCTTGAGGGATTATTGACTCTAAAGTGATTCCCAATTGAGACAGAGGCCATCTGTTCCGG